TCAGCTCCAATCAATTCAGTTCAGTTCAGTTCCGAATTTCCTTCTCTTATAAACAATTCATTTCAGCTCTATTTAGTTCAGTTAATTTCACTTCAGTTCAGCTCAGTAAATCAGAACATGCCCTACAACTTTTGCTTTTTACAATTTTTTATTTTCCACATATCCCACTACCTTCATATTTTATTGCTTTATTCAATTTCTCCTAAAACTCCGCTCATGAAAAATAGAGCAAGTATTTAAAAACGGAAGGAGAATGATTTAATTGGAAAAAAAAAAAACACACACACACAAAAGAAAAAAATTCAAAAAGCTGAAAAATACAATGATACCAAACAAGTCCAAAATCATCCAAAATAATTTAAGTACTACGGCCAATTTTGCACCTGTATTTGCCAAAGTGATTCTCTTATATGAAAATTTATTCTTTTACATCAAGGGGGTGTTTGTTTAGAGGGATAAAAGAGGGGGAATAGGATAAAGAGGAGGGATTAAACAAGTCTTTTGTTTGTTTAGAGGGATGAGGATTATGAAGGGGGATAGGATGTGGATAAAAGAGGGAGTTATCCCTCCAAATTAGTAACCTAGGGGGGTGGTATAAGGGATGGGGACTAAATTTAATGGTTAAAGACAATATTACCCTTAATGAAAGAGAAAGAAAACGAGGGTGAACAAAGGATAGTAAGGGTATTTTTGTATTTTTATTAGTTATTCCAATATAATCTCAACTCATACCAAACAATGAAATACACTATTTTTATCCTTATCCCATCTATTAATTTCACCTTTTTATCCCACCTTATCCCACTTAATCCCATCCCTCCTACCAAACGCCCCGCAAAGTTAATACATCTGCGCATGTAAATATTGACGAGCCCATCTAAAGATTACATGAGGTATGAGTTATTCAGGTACCAATGTTTTTTTCTTCATGGTGCCTAAGATTATCAAGGGGATACTCAGCTACTAATGTCTTGCTTAGGGACGTGAATACTCATCCGAAATAGGTTATTAACTTGGTCTTACAGCTCTTCCAAAGTACCATGTCCTTAAATATTTGCAGACGTATTTTGGCGTACAGGCCATCCTAGACATGAACCTTAATAATCATCAAAAAGGCAATGGCCTTGTTTGGCAAGTGGCTATTGGCGGTTGGCTGTTGGCAGTTGGCTGGTTCACTTGGCTTGTTTGACTAGCTGGTATGTTTGACTGTTTATAATGGCTTTTGAAATTGGCTGTTAAAGCTGACTGTTTATAAAAGTGTTTGGTAAATTAATTGTTGGTAGTTGGATGTTTATTAGATAATTTGTTGGCCAACAAGCCAAAAGCCAACAAAAAAGCTACTCAAAGCAGCTTTTTTATTTTGGCTTAAAAGCCAGCTTTTTCACTAGCTAAAAAGCCAATTACCAAACACATTTTTTGGCTGCTTGACCTCATAAAAAAGCCAAAAGCCAAAATCTAACCAAAAAACCATTTACCAAACATGGCCAATATGGAGAATGGTGTGGAAGAATAGCAAATGGGGATTGAAATTAGCTACATTTGGATGGATTTAGTGGCTCCAGCCTATACAAAAATGAGATTGGTAACTAGATGTTTTGTTCTTCTTTTTCAATGCTTAAGGTGGAGGACTACACTATGCTTAGAGATCTAATAGCTAAAATGCGGAGATATTGTTCGTACATATTTTAACCAATTAACCAAATTTCTTTATGATAATAGGCTTGTTTGCTAAATGACTTTCATTGGCTTTTTTTTATTGGCTTTTGGCTTTTTTATTTGGTCAAACATCTAAAATTTATGTTTGGTAAATGGCTTTTTCAGCCAGCCGAAAAACTAGCTTTTAAGCCAAAATAAAAAGAGCTACTTGGAGTAGCTTTAGGCTTTTAGCTACCTAAGTTACTAATTATATCCAATAGCCAATTTTACCAAACATGTTTTTAGACTAATAAAAAGTCAAACAGCCAACAAAAAAGCCAATATAAATAGCTAGTCAAACCACCCGACAGCCGACAGTCAACAATCAGCAACCAATTGCGAAACAAGGCCTCTATATATAGCAACTTGCTAGTAGCAAGTACTTTTTAGGCCTTCGGACTCTTCTTTTGATTTAGGTTGGTTCCTTGAACTAGCTTCATTGTGCTTATTGTTACCAATGTGAATAAATTAAGAATGGCGATAACGAGCATGAAAGATACAAGAACTACTTATAAAGATCATATTCCTCTTTTAAGGAGCTACGCTTCTCTCATGTTAACTGGCATATGCAAATAGAAACAAGTTATAATCGTGTAAAAAATTACAGCTCAAAGATGACATTAAACTGTCAGAGTGTCAGCAGATATCTTCCCGCTCCTCCCCCTCACGTTCACGGCCAAACCCCCTAACTAGTTCCCTATGCACCTCTTACAAAATAAACTCCACAAACACTCAGTAAACTGAAAGTGAGAAAGCCGTACAGCAAACAAAAACTGGTGGCAGTCATGAACATGAATGCCACTTCGTCAGAAACAGAACATCAGCAACACCATAAAGCTGGTGTCATAATATAGTTTTCTTAGTCATTTCTAAATCATCTAAGTCTTAGAAAAAACTGGGATCAGAGGAGCAACCCCTAAGTAACATTGTGTTCAAAAATAAAGAATCTAAGGTATGAGGCAGATAAAGGAATAAAAACAACTCATTCATAACTGTTTACAGATATAAACATCAAGAGCCCCTTAAATAAGGTCACATTCAACCAAGTCAGCAAAATCATGCTACATGCTACATCCTCGGACATATCAGGGAGCTGACCTGTAGCTCAATAGGATTATCAAGTTGCTACTTCTTATACTAATGTAAAGTTCACAAAATTTCTTTCGAGGATCGGGTGAAGTTTGGGGGTGACATAATGGTGTGGCTGAAGTGGTATAATAACCTTTGTAAATGCTTCACTCCTTATGAAGCGCAGTAGGGAGTTGAATATGATCCAGAGAGAAAAAGGGGTTGAATGGGTGTGGGACCCAATATTAAAGAAAGGGTAGAGGAAAAGGTTACTAAAAGTGGTATGTGATGCTTGATAAGAGACAGCCGAAAGAGGTATATGTATCACTTACCACAAGACAGGCATTGTTTCTCTTTACTGGTAGGCCGGTCCTATCACCACAACCACCCCAGAGCAAAATTCACTCACCAAACCGCCCAAAAAGGTCATCAAAGGACAAGCAACTCAGAGCTGAGCAAACTATATAACCCCTAATTCCATGCCTTTTTGCTCTCTGCTAGACGATAGAATTCTTCTGTCTTTCCTTTATCAAAGGCGGGACATAAAAGGCATAGCACAGTATGCTGCGGGAGGTCAAAGAAAAATATCTTCATAGTACAAGGTCCTACACCTGCAAAAACTCTTGGATACTTTCTTGAAAATCAATTGCTTAACTGAACTAAGGGTAAGATCCAACACAAGAAGACAGATAACCATAACGAGCAACAAAAAGGTGTAGTCCTATATGTTTAGAAATGTTCAGCATGAGCTAGTCTGGACTGCCATTACATACATCACAGTGGTGGATTCCACTGCACTGAATTCTAGCATAACTCAACATCGGTTCAGAGTGAAATGTCAGAAAATTATGTGTGCAACTTTCTAACTTCAGTATATCCATATCTACTGCCTCCGTTTCTTATTATCTACAACGAAAGGGAATTATTTGTGAGACAAAAAAAAAATTCTTTGTTGCAAATAATAAGAAAAGGAGAGTAAACTTTAAAGGCTGAGACCAGAACTTCAAGCATAAAGGGCAATTTCATCAAAACATAAAGTTCCTACTTTCTTCTATTGCACATCCTAGAATAAATAGACAACCTTTGTCAAAAAAAAACAAAAACAAACAAACAAAAAAAAGAAGATAAATAGACAACTTTGAAAGGAATAGCAGATAAGGGTTTGAGATATACACCGTGGAAGCCACCAAACATCAGTCCCCTTTGACAAAACAACTGAAGATTAACTAGAGTGTCGGAAATTCCAAAGTTCTCCTTAAAAATTTAAGGCTACTGTCGATATACAAAAAACTCTTATATATGGAAACTGAAACAAAAGACGGGCCACTTTTATATTTTCCAAAACCAATAGTGAGTTCTCACAAAAACTTAAGGTGCAAAGAATTACTAATAACCCCCCTTAAACCAATAGTGAGTTATCAGAAAACCCTTAAGGTGCAAAGAATTACTAATAACCCCCCTTATACCCTAAGTGAACGGTCTTTTCCCAAGAGTACAATAATATAATTCATCAATAAGTAGTGTGACCTTATTTGTGGATCAATGCAAAGGGCACCCTCCAAAATGACTATCAAGGGGATTGCCAATGCCCATCAATTTAGTCCAAGACATGAATCATTATACCCGAGAAAATGCAGCAAGACACGATTTCAGAAGATGGCCTTCCACATGTGGACATAGCAACATCCATATGCCCGAAAAGATGAATAATTCAACTTCTAGCTTTTTACTTCATTTTCACATAGCCGCCCATGCTTATCTCATTAGGGGTAAAAAGAACATGAATAAATTATCCAAACACCACTCTTATGCCCTTCTTTCGAATAAGTGCACTTTTTAATCACACTTTCTAAGCTCTAGTATAGGGGAGCTGAAAAATGAAATAACATAACAAATGCTGGTTTTGATCAAATTTTTTAGTTAGGGTGGTTTCGGGATAAGTTTAAATAGTTTTTTGATTTGTATGATTAGCCTTACAAAAAAAAACCCAAACCTTTAATAACTCTCAAAACTTCATTCTCATTTGCCTCATAAACTTATCAAACCCACAATCTTCATTCAACCCACAACATTAACAACTCACAACTTTTATACTACATGGGGAATTCCTATTACTCACATCCAATCTCATAAGCATGATTTAACCCACAACTGTAACGTCCTATTCCCGGAAAAATCTCAAGATTCTATCAATTCCATATCACTTAAAATCTCAAACACACAGAGAAAACTTAGAATTCACAACAACAAAAAAAGGCTCAATTATATAAATCACAAATTGTCATGCAATCATCTCTTAATCATATGAAATTCAGCTCAAAATCAATTCGAGAATCACTCTGAATACTTCAAATACATAGATTACGGTGATCTACAGTCAAAAAATCCACAGAATTACAAAAATTCTAGTACTACCTAGATGATGTACTACTGAAATTAACTGACATTGTAAATTGGGAAGAAACATCCTTAAATTGCTTCATATTTGGGATCAGCCATCACAAAATGGTAAGCAATTACCAGAACAAAGATGAAAACGCCAAGAAAATTGGCAATAAACCCTAGATCTTGATCATCAATCATCTGCAATTCACAATTAGAGAAAGTAGAAATCAACAATCACAATTGAAATTATCATACAATAAATTTTGAAGATATTATGTTATTAGTGTTAGAAGATCGTTGTGTTTTAGAGGAAAGGAGAGTTTACCTTGAAAGCAGAGAAAAATATTGTAGACCGGAAGAAAGCAAGAGTAGAGAGAAAGAAGTTTGATTTGGATTTTGAGTGACCGGAATTTGGTGGACGGAAGATTAATATAGGGTTCAACGTTTTTAGTAGAAAAATCGAGTTAATCTCACGGATTACTCTTTCATTAATAACTAGTTTTATTCCCGTGCAAATGCACGGATTTATAATAATAAGACTTGAAAATAAAAATAAATAAATAAATTAATAAAATTCAATTAAAATGAAGTTAGTTTAAATGAAATGGCTTATATGTAACATTTTTTATTTTTGAATTTGAATTCATATCATGTCTATCCTTAAAATTCTCATGTTAGATACATTATTTAAAATATTTTATAAATTATTGTAAGTTTTTTTTCATTAAATTTTTTTTATCATGTTATTTTTTAAGGGAAAAAAAGAAATTTTAAAAAAGGCTAAAAAATATTTGGGCGGGAAAATTTTTGTTGTGAATGTGACATGTGTACTTAAGGGATAACTCTGGTGATTACTTTAGTATATAGTATAGATAGGAAAAATTGTTAAAAATAATACAAATTTTGAACGGTCCGTTAAAAATAAGTCAAACTTTTGATTATTTCCAAATAATACAAAATTTAAGGAGAATCCGATTTAAATGTGACACTTTACCTACAACTTATATGACAGGTAAATTTTTATTTTTATTTTTTATTTTGATAAATTCATTTAACAATTAAATTAACACTTAATGAAAAATTAATTAACATTTAAACCATAATTAATTGATAATTAGTATAAAAAAACACTTTTCTTAAAAAAAAAAAAAAAAAAAAAAAAAAAAAAAAACACTCCCACCACCGTCCACCGGTCACTCCTCCTCCCTACCACTAGCAGCTTCCCCATCCCTACTACTTCCACCTCTGGCGGCACCAGCCTAGTCCTGTCAGCCCGCCTAGCCGTCGCCCTCGCTTTCGCCCTCCCCCCAAATTCCCTCTCCTTTAATTTCCCACGAAACCCCCTCCATACTTGCAACAACCAACAAAAACCATAAATGCTCCTTCGCCCACCCTCGAAAACCCTAGCCAATAGGGTTTCATGGGTGGGCGAAGGGGCAATTGGGGGTTCCGTGGGTTTCCACGGGGAGCGAGGGAGGGGGATTCCGTGGGTATTTGTGGTGGGTGGGAGTCGGGGAAGGGAGTGGGAGAGGTGAGGATGCTAGAAATGGGCCTGGGTCACTGGCGCGCAGGAGGGGATTGAGGCGCCGGCAGAGTGTCGCCGGAGGGCTGGGCATTGGGGATGGGGGATGGCAGGGAGATGAATGGGTTGTTGGTGGAGCGGGGGTTATTTAAAAAAAAATTTATATTAAAATTTAACTCTTTTAAAAAATAAATAAATAAACATTTTAAATTAAATTGTCGAACCAATTAAATAATGACACGTGTCTCATATACCTATTAATCAAGTCACTAACCGATCAAAACTTGTTTATAGCGGATAAACCTCAAAGTTTGTATTATTTAGAAATAATCAAAAGTTTGACTTCTTTTTGGCGCACCGCTGAAAGTTTGTATTATTTTTGACAATTTTTCCTTAATAATAATACTTCATCCATTTTTTCCCCTTAACACCTTTTTTTAAATCACATTTGTCAATACACAATTTCAATCATTCGTATCTTATTTTTTTTTTTTGGAAGAAATTAATATCTTTAATTACAGAAACAAAAATTATGAATAGTTGATATTCAGAAAATATATATTGTGAGGAATTTAACAAGATTCTACATGACTAAATATTTCATTGCGTATAAAGCATAAAACACGGTCAAAAAAGAGTGTGTGAATAGTGCTAAAGTAAAAATATGCCAACTTAAAAAAACGGAGGTAGTAATAAGTATTCGTTAATAATTTTTTTTACCTTAGATAGGCAAAATAATTGTTAATTTAATCAACCAACAACTTTTGTGTGTGACTGGCTGTGGGGAATATTTCAAGCATCATCCCCAGCTTGAACTCCACGGTGATCATATACTTAATTACGGTGGCGTCCAAAGGGAAAGAAGATAGAGCAAAAGAGTCGCCAACAAGTTTTAGGAACTTGTAAACCGTTCACGAGGTGAAAGTTACACCCCTTAACGATCCAGAAGATCGTCAACTCCAATAGGTCTGGAACCATGACTGGTAGTTCGGGGATGAAGGTACAAATCTAACCTAAAAGAGATTGAACTTGCCCTAATAATAAGCCTCTACTTTATTTTGATCGTATTCATGTGCGCTTTCTGACTAACATGTAATCAATAGGTTTAACCCTAAACCTGTTTAATCTATGTTGGTTGAATATTAATGCACAAACAAAACTATTATTAGCGATCACTTGAATTATAATCAAATTAACCTAAACAAGATTATTAATTATCTTATTAAGCGTGATTACAGATACAAATTCCCTTTAAACATGCATAAAAGGCGTGATCAAGCAATAACAATAAATAATAATCAAGCAACATAATCATAAATAAACAATAATAATAATTATAATCATAATAATCAAAATAATCATGTTAAAGCATGATAATAGAAAGATCATAGGCATGATACTAACAAGATTAATAACAAACCCTAGCATGTCACTAAACAATAAAGAATAAAAGCTTTAACCCTAACATGATACTAACATGATATTAGAAAAGAAAATAGGAAGCATCACGGGAAATCATAATAAGCATATTTGATATTAGAAAGTATAGTTGTTACCCTAAACATGATACTAGGAAGATTAAAACGCCCTAACATGACACTAGGAAGATCAAAACGCCCTAACATGACACTAGGAATCAAAATAACAACCTAAGCATGATTTTTATATCATAATATTAATAAATCAATTAAAGCACTTATTTGGATGCCTCGTACCTCTTTCTAATAACAAAATACACGCGTTAGTAACTTCAAGGAAAATAATAAAATCAAACAATTAAATTAAAATCACGTCTAGGGCGAAGGCAACTTCAAACTTGGCTAGGTGTGTCTAGATCTTGTGAATGCGGAATTTTATTTGCAAAAGCTAGAGAGAAAAAAAGAAATCAAGAGATTCTTGATAATTGATGATGATTAGAAAACTAGAGAGTTGATGATTGAAAACGGAGGTTTTAGGAGGCTATTTATAGTGAAAATCAGTCGGTCGGATAAAAAAACAAATCAGAGTTTCGAAGAGAATAAAATAGATTAGCCCCAGACGCTAGACATTAGCGCCAGGTGCTAAGGCTAGCGCCAGACGCCAAGCATTAGCGCCAGGCGCTAATCCTGTCGTCAGGCGCTGGAAACTAATTTCACGCGTTTTCTTAATTTTGATAAAATTTAGCCGTACAGAATGGCAAAATCGTATTTTCCTTAAAAACTCTTCTTTTATTCTGATTAAAACTCTAAAAAGTCAACTAAAGTCAATTATCAATGCTAATTAAATTAGGAATGAAAATATCCTTCTAGAAGAATCTAGAAGACTAAAATCAATTCTAATTGCATTAGGAATGATAAATCAATATTAGGCCCTCCTCTAGATCATTGGGCCACACGTCTTTCAATAAATCTAATTAAAGAATTAAAATATATATGTAGGACCAAACCCTCAGAACTATCAAACTTTCACGTCGAGGTCTAAGGCAACTTCGAACTTGGCTAGGTGTGTCTAAATTTCGTGAAGGACGTATGATGTATGTTTATGAAAAGCAGTAGAAAAATCTTAGAAAGACTTAGTAAATCAAGAGAGAGAAAAAGAATGAGCTTTAGCTTAGAGAGAGAAAGAGATGATGATTATGGGTGAATTAAAAATGGGAAAAATCGCCCCTGTTTATAAGCAGTAAATCAATAGAGGAAAACGACTGAAAAAAATCAGGAAGCGAGTGGGAATCCAACTCGGAGTAAAACAGGTTCTATCGCGGCACGATAGGATTATCGAGATGCGATAGCGTTATCGCACACCGATAAGCTTATCGCGGCAGATGGATCTACCGCGGCGCAATAGATTTCGTACGATAAGATTCGTACGAAATCCGACTTCCAATTAAATTGGGTAAGCCAAAGTTCATACGTATCTTTATTAAATCAGTTTTAAATCCTTTTTTAAAATACTTGTTTTATTTGATGTAGAATTCTTGATCATTATGTTTTCAAATTAAATAAATAATAATTATAATTATCAATCCTAATGCCTTTAGAACTCAAAATTACCTTCTACATAATTTTAGAAAATTAAGACAAATCCTAATGACTTAGAAATATAACTAAAATTAATGGACCCTCCACATGATCATTGGGTCCGCATATAAACTTCACTTAGGCCCAGTTTAGTATTTTGGCCATAACTTCCTCGTTATAACTCATAATTGGGCTTATAGTATATCGTTAGAAAGCTCTTTTCGAACCTCATCCAATTGCCGCAAATTATAAGGTACACCATGGTGTACCTTAAACTGTGTGCACCATCAATGAATTGATGCCACGTAGTTATTAGTTGCCATATGTAGCTTTGTTCTTTTCAATTATTTTATCTCGGTATTTCCTCTCTCCTCAATATTTTCTCTCTCCTCTATTCTCCTCGATCACACTTTCTTAATTTCTGGTTTATTTCTCCTCCATCTTCTCTCTCTTAAATTAATTCAATAGTTTGTTTTTTATTTAATTTCATCATCATCATTTACCATTGTTGATCACCATAGATTGAGATCCTTCATCTCCTCCTCTTACAATTCATAAATTCTGATTTCTCTCTCCTCTATTTTCTTAAATTCATTCATTATTTTGTTGTTGGTTTAATTCCTTCATCATTATCATATATTAACTTTAAAGTTCGTTTTCTTAAACCTTCAATTTGAAGCTTTATTAATGGAGTTTTTGCAATGAAGTGAAGTTAAAAATGGTAGATTTGACGAGGAGAAGGTGGTTAAGACGACGAAGATGATTATTTTCCGATGAGACTCCATTATCTAAATCAGTATGGCTAGGTTTGAGTTTCGAAATGTGTAGCTTTTATATTATTTTGATTTTTTTATTGATATTTGTGTATTCTATTATGAACAGTTCTGTTTTTGGTTATATTTAGATTTTTGAACATTTTAAGTTTAAAATATGAACGTAGGATACGTTTCCTATAAATATATATATT